GTTAACTTTCTTTCTCTTGCTGCTTTTAAGATTCTCTCTTTGTCTTTTGCCCTTCGCATTTTAAATATGATGTGTCTTGGTGTGGGCCTCTTTGGATTCCTGTGGTTCTCTGTGCTTCCTGGACTTGTAGGTCTATTTCTCTCACCAGTAGAGTACTTTTTTTCTCATTATTTCTTCAGATTGGTTTTCAATATTTTGCTCTCTTCTCCTTCTGGCAAACCCATAATGTGAATGTTGTTATGCTTGAAGTTGTCCCAGAGGCTCTTTACATTATCTTCATATTTTTGTATTATTTTTCTTTTTTCTCTTCTGCTTGGATGTTTTTTGCTTCCTCATATTCCAAATAATTGATTTGTTTCTTGGAATCCTCTCATATTGAATCCCTGTAAATTATTCTTTATTTCAGAAAGTATATTCAGACTCATCATTTTTCATGTCTTTGACATTCTCACCAAGATCCTTGAAAGCCTCACTAAATCCCTTGAAGTTCTCTTTGAATCAACTGAAGCTCTCATTAAGGTCCTTGAGTAACCTTATAACCATGGTTTTGAACTCTGTATCCAGTAATTTGCTTGCTTCCATTTCTTTCATTTGTGACATATTTTTGTCTCTGCATTTTGGCTGCTTCCTTGTGTTTGTTTCTTTGTATTAGGTAGACCTGCTATGTCTCCTGAAGTTGGTAGAGTGGACTTGTATGGGTGTCCTGTAGGGCCCAGTGGCTCAGCCTCCGCAATCACCTGAGCTGGGCACTCTAGGTGCACCCTTTTGTGGGCCGTGTGCACAGTCTCATTGTCGTTGAGACTTGATTGCTGTTGGTGTCACTGGGAGGAATTGACCTCCAGGCCAATTGGCTGTGAGGATTGGCTGGGACTACAGTGGGAGAGCTGTAGTATAGGAGACACCCCTATGGATTAGGACTTGCTTCAGTGGGACTTTTGTGCTCACTGAGTCTGCCCCTTGAGTGTGTCACTGGTGGATGTGTAGAGTTGTAATCTGGTGTGGTCTGAAGCTATCCACTGGGTGCACTGGCTCTGGGGCCTCCCAAGAGCTGCAAAGTCAGCCACTGCCTGAGGCCACTGGGCAGGAGCTACAGAGAAATCCACAGATGGCTGCTACTTGTATTGGGCTTGTGAAGTGCCTATGTGAGGTCAAGCTATGAAGCAAGGCAGGCTGGTGCTAGTGCTGGGTCTTGGCCTTTTATTGATAGGTTTGAGGCACGCTGACTCCAACTGCTGCTTATTTCAGAGATTTTTAGCAAAGTCTGAAGCCTGAGTCAGGATAGTTAATTGATATGGAAAAGCTGCTGCAAACAACTTGGGTGGGTCGGGGTCTCAGGGAATTACCAGGGCAGAGTGAACAGTGTGAACCAGGCTGATGGAAACTCAGATATGGCTTCCAGTCAGCTCTGCAACGGGGGTGGTCCCAGCACAGGAACAATGACCCCTGCAAGGACTCCTTGTCTGGGAGAAATCCGCCGCTGAGTTCCTGCCACGGTGCCAGACAATCCAGTGCCTCCTTATATATCCCTGGGTCCTCCAAAGCCACCCAGCACTGGAGCTCAGAGGGATCGTGTCTGAGTAAGTTTGTGTACTGGCTCTTTAAGCGGAATTGCCTGGGTCTCCAGCAGCTTCCTTGTCACTCAGCCACAATCCCCACTGGTTTTTACAGCACAAAGTTATGGGGACTTCTCTTCCCAGCTCTGGTACCTGGCTGGGGGTCTGGTGTCAGGCTGGGACCCATTGCTCCTTGTGGGAGGCCTCTGCAGCCGAGATAGCCCTCCTGATCAATAAAAAGGGCACACAGAGGATTAAAAATGGCAGCAGAGTAAGTGGGTACTGCACGAACATGCTCCCAGGAACAAACTGGAATTACAACTAAAATACAGAAAAACTTTCTGAATAATCAGTGGAAGACTCGCAGGAGACAACCCTGATACCTGAGGACCGAAAGTGGAGATTGCATAGAGACTGGTAGGAGGGGCGGAGGCACAAAAGGGCTGGCCAGGCGCCACAGACAGCAACTGAAGTTCCAGAGAGATACCTCAACTGTGGGGGGTTGCAACTGAGAACTCTGGGATCTAATTGCCAAGCGGGGCTCCCTAGCAGAGAGCACCAAATCTGAGGAGGGTACCCACATAACATCTGACTGTGAAAAGCAACAGAGTTGCCGTCTGCCATGGAGAGAGGGCTGAAAATTCAGGTACCCTCTTAAAGGGCCAACGCACAAAATTCCCTATGTAGCTACTCACCTTGTGCTCCGGCAGAAGGAGGTCACAATGGATTGGAGCTGTGTGAACAGGACTGGGGACTCGGGGGGATAGAGCTCAGAAGGCAGACACCCCCAGTTTCCTGGGCTGAGTCATTCCTTCACACAGCAGAGGACTACCAAACAAATATTTACCTTGCCTAGGGGAAGACAGTTGACTCAGCCTATTGGAAAATACCTTACCCTCAGGCCACTCTTAAGAGACCAAAAATAACAATTAGCCTCCAGGCAGAAGCCACTGCCCCACCCTGTTGAAAAAACTCTCACCACACTTGAAGACGGTTGCCTGGGGCACTTCAAATTGGAATTCTATCAGTCTATAGGCAGGCAGTCCCTGGAGGCTTTGAGTCTTTGCCTGATCTAATTAGAAACAGCATTTGACACTGTCCTGCACTGGAGCTTGAGAGGTGTACAGATCTACCTAATACATAGTCACAAACCCAGAAAGACAGCCACAATGAGGAGACAAAGAAACAACCCCCAATTGAAAGACCTAGAGAATTCTCCAGAAGAGATAAATGAAACAGAGCTAAGAAATTTATCTGAAACAGAGTTCAGAGTAATGATGGTGAAGATGCTCTACAGCATGAAAAAATATATAGTAACTATAAAAAAAGAACAGTCTGAGATAAAGTATTACACAGCAAACATAAAGAACACATTGGAAGGAATATAAAGCCGATTAGGGGAAGCTGAGGATCGAATCAGTGAATTAGAAGACCGGGTTGAAAAAAATCACTCAATCAGAGAACCAAAATGAAAAAAATAAAACCCAATTAAAAAACAGAAGGACAATTTAAGAGAGCTGTGAGACAACATGAAACATAACAATATTCACATAGGAGGTGTGCCAGAAAGATAGGGTTAGAGAACATGTTTGAATAAATAATGGCAGAAAACTTCCC